GTTCTGTGATGGACAAGAACACCAACACAAACTTCTTAAAATTAAATACATTTATATGGTACTTTGTACTTTTTAGGATAGTTTGATTATCCCATTAGTCTCTAATATAGTTGTAATGAGGTAGATGACTCGAGCATCAATGGGTTATTACACTGTCTAGAAGAAAGTAATACCCAGCAGAGAGAGGAATGTAGAAATTCAGAAAAGGGACATGTTGCTTGTGCAGGAGGAGGTGAGGAACAGAGAAAGCTAAGTTTTGAAGATCTAGCAGCACTTATTGAGTATTTACAGTATAACTACCACTGTGGTAGGCATTTTATGTTTTAGCTCACGTGAAAGACTTGAGTGTTTTGAATGTAAAAATAGGGAGTTTACATAGAGGTAGATGGATACTTTCATATTCATTGTAGTGCAAGAGATCAGTAGTGTGTATTGGATCTATGATTACACTTGTGGGTGAAATTTGGGCTGTCAGCCTAAGAAGGTCAATAGTTCTGTTGTAAAGTGTTAGGACCTGCATAACTCTGGTAATTCAGTGCATGTGGATACGTGGTTTGGCCTTTGGTAAGAAATCACGTTCAAAGTCTTCTGTTCAAAAGCTGTTAATGGGTAACATTGAGCATCTACTAGGAACCAGGTACTACTCTAAATACTTTTCTAAGCACTTTACAATATTACCTTCAAAATAACCTTGTGATAATGGGTTCCTTATTTCCCATTTTATATATGAGGAGGAAGCTGAGGCAAATTGCTTTTTAAGTGAGGTGTCTAAGATCATACAACAAGGAAATAGCAAAGCCAAGTTTTCACCCACACAGTCTGGCTCCAGAACCTACACTCTTCATTTCCATAACATATGTCTCTCCACTGCTCATGTGATGAAAGCTTAGCACACCTCTTTACCTGTTTCTCATTTTCCCCACTGGATTCTGGGGCAGAAACTAGCCAGCTCTTCCCCCAACCTCTTGTTTCCTCTTCTTTCTGGGCCCACAGCAGACTATATTTCCAGCCCTTCTCATGATTGCTTGAATGAATGTCAGTCAAAGGACGTGAGAAGAGGCAAGGCACATCCCTTCTACATCCGATCCATTACACTTTTCTCAGATGGTCCCACATGTTCTTTCCCTTTCATTCAACATGAGGAAGGTGAGCTCGAGGACCTTCAGCTCCACATGCTGAAAGGCTGGAGTTATAAAATAGAAGAAGGCTAGATCCCTGGATGTTGCTTGGAGAAGAGTTAATAATCAAACAGGAGCATCTGTGTTAGACATAAGGCAAACAGGAGATAAGTTTCTATTAGCTTTGTGCCATCACATGTAATGTTTTTTTCATCACTGTTGCTGTTACAGTAGTTAAAATTGCCTTAACAAATACGTATGTGAATTGAGCTGATCTATCTATTGTCCCTCTGGTTTTTACAGACACTTTTCCTTAGAATTCTCATTCTTTCCTTCAACTACTCACACACTGAAAATTATTCAAGGGCTAAATCAAGTCCAATCACGTTCAAACAGCTTTTCCCACCTCCATCAGCCACAGCGATGGCTCTTTCCCTCAGCTGCCTATAGCACTTTGTTTTCTATACCTTTCTTGTGCTCCAATTCTGCATGTCTTTCTTGTTGTTTGATTTGGTGAGAATGTGAGCTCTTCAAGGTCAAAGATCATGTTTTTATGCTTTATGACTCTGGAGTATATAGCATTCTGTTGTGCCTTGAAAATATTCAGTAAACATTCAGGGACGTGAATGCATTAAGTTCAATAAAGTCCATTTTCCTAAGAACAGTCCTTTCATAGTTGAAGCACGAAGGCCTGCACACTATAATTTACTGGATTTGGTGTTTTTATTTTTCTTTTCATCAGTGTACACATTCTAACACTTCTTGACAACTGCTTAGAGGAGACAGAAGGCCTGCTTATCAAATTTCACATGGCACAGACTAGAAGTAATAAATAATGCACAAAATGACAGACTCAAAACTAGCCAAGTTGGAATGAAGCAGATAGCTTTAAATAGAGATAACTATAAAACTAGATTAAAAAAAAAACCCACTATCCAATTTGAGTATGGAAAGACATGGCTAACACCAATTTATAGGAGATGACTTTCAGGTTTTAAATGGTTGCTAGGCTGATGTGAGCCCAGAGTGGCATACAGGGCCCTGTTCATAGGCTGAAGGCAGAGTGGCAGACAAAATGTTCAGACTTCAACAAGGCACAGACATAAATGAAGGTTGCTGGGTGGTGGCAACTGGAGATGAATGAAGCCTTGATGTTGGGTACAGTCCACGGTCCTGTATTTTAACCTGGGCAAGCTAAGATGGGCGTCAACTTCTGCCTTTGAAATACTGGTGGGACACCTCTCTCTGAGGATACCATTAATTGACTTCTGACATTAAACTGGTGCTAACAGCCCAGGCTGGGTCCCCAGAAAGTTTTGCTAGAACCTAGAAGGTATTAAACGATATTATTTTATTTTTTGGTCCTACTTACTGGTGTCAAAGTCAGAGACATCCTTCACTAAGTCCCCTTATTCTAGAAACTGGGAAATTCTGTGTCATTTGGAAACTTAAGTCACCCTTGAGGGAGGGGAGAGAAGACACATCCCATTTTCTCTGGGCTCAGCTGAGACAACCATTCCAGGATGCTCAGATAAACTTGCTCCTAGAAACCTACACTTCCTAAAAGCTAGGATCAGAGTTCTGGCAAGAAGACTGTAATCTGGGCCTTGGCACTGTCCCACTGAGAATGTGAATGTCATCTTAGGCAGGATTAATAGAAACCTAGCATCTGGAACCAGGGTGTTGCTGTAGTCTGTGCTGATCAGACCACAAAGGAGGAAGTGTTTCTTTTCCAGATACCATGATTTTAAAAGGATGCAGGCAAATTAGTGTTTATCAAAAGGAAGATTACCAGACTGTTAAGGGGACTTTGATATCAATTGTGTTCTGGTGTTTCAGGCTTCAGGAGTGGAGGGGCTCTGGATGAAGGGTAGAAGACAGTGTCAGACAGAACAGATTTCAGAATGCTGTTTTGTGAAAGAAGGCTGACCCTTTAGGTAATGCCAGAGGCAGAACTGGTACCAGAAGGATTTAAGATGAAAATGAAGAAGAAATTAAGCACTGCAGTTCTTTAAAAATGGAGTTACCAAGGTTGAAAATGTTCAAATAAGAGTTGATAACTGTCGTAAATGTTTCAACTGGGATTCAGAAACACTGGGTGAGAAGTTAGGTAAGAGAGTTTTACCTAAACTCATTCAAATCTAATATTCTATGATCTAAAAAGTCTTTAATTTGGTAGTATACTACAAAACATGAAGGGAGACGGTAATTATTGCCAAGCCTGGATTTTGAACATTGTTCCCTCAAAAAGAGCACAATCCATGAATTATTTAATCTGCAAAATATGAGAGGGGAAAATTGAGGCTTTATATCACTATGAAACCACAGGCACAAAAAAAAAAAAAAAAAAGAAAGAAAGAAAGAAACCACAGGCAGTCTCTGAGAGATAAATAAAAAGGAATTTCATGAAGTACAGGTATGAGGGGAGAGGCAGGGAGGATTGCAAACCCTGTTTCCCAAGGACAAGGAGCTGACTGTGATGCCATACTTGACACTGTGAAAGCTGGGCACACATCTATTGTGGTTATAACAGGTACTTAGAAACTGCTTTTGCTAAAAGCATGGACTCTTCACTTGGGCCTACAAATGTCCAGCGGCTAACTAAAAGCAGGATAAAAACTTGGCATCTTTGCTTCCATTTTGCATATGTCTCCTTTGCTCTGAGCCATTCTCTTCTGCAGTCACCTTGAACTCCAGAAACAATAGATCTGATGGATAAACATCTTGTGACAAGAATCAAATTACTTCGCCCCCCTCGTAGCCCCCCCCCCCAGCAGTGACTTTCTTATCAGGACAACGACCCACCTGACCAGCCTGAGATAATGATCAACCAGACCACAGTGCTGATCAGCACTGATCAGTTATGCAGGATTCTTGCCTCCTCCCCCTTGGGTCATGGAACCCCTTTGCCTCTTTTGGATGCAGCTGCACTGAATAAATCTTTTTCTGCTTTTCATTGCTTCTCATTGGGATGGGTGGCAGAGCCCAGTCTGTTGGAACTCCTTGAGCGGGCTTTTGTCCTAAAAGTTTGGTAACATGGTGACAGCAGCTTGCTCTTCTGTAGGAGAAGCAACAGGTTTGCTGCTATGTCTGTAGGCCCTGGAGACAAACTCACCACAATCACATTGTTGGTTAGAACTGATTATCCTGGAAAAACTGTTTTTAGTGGTATATTTCTCTCTGTTTCTTGAACGGTTCTTCGTTCTCATGAATGGGAAATACATATAAGGTCGAGTCTCACGTGTGGCAATAGGTCATGTTTGGAGAAAGTCCAGGTATGCAAATGAAGACAGATTCTCATGCCAGTAATGGAGGATGGTATCATATGTTGGGCAGGAAAGTGGGTAAAGGGGTGATCGAAGTATTTGTCCAAAGAATCATCCCTTGCCTTGTCTCCTGACCACTAAGAAGCCCTCTTCCAGTCGTTCTGTCTAGACCATTGTCCACTCTTCCGAGTCCGCGTTGGGGACGGTGGGAGGTGAACACCTGCTGCAGAGTATAGATGCCGATAGGCCCAAGGAGTGGTGGCTTTTCGCCGAGGAGGTTCCCCCACCCGCGCACACCTCTCGCCCTCACTCCAGACTGGACCCCATTCCACTCCTCCTGCGCCGCTCGCGGCTACAACTCCTGCCCGGGCGGCCGCAAAACCCGGGAGCGCCGGAGTGGGCGCGCGGGCTGGCGCGGCCGGCGCGGGCCGGCGCCCGGAGCTCTGGGCATGCTCAGTCGCGCGGGCAGGGCTCCGGGCGCGAGCCGGGCTCCTTCTGCACCACATTCATCCGCTGCCAAGAGGAGCCGCCGGGCGCTCGCAGGCTCGGCGCGCGCTGCTCGCGGGAGGACCCGGCCGCCGAGCCCCCCCTCCCCCGCCCCACCACCACCACCACCACCACCCGCAACCATGGCCGGCCTCGGCCACCCCGCCGTCTTCGGCCGGGCCACCCACGCCGTGGTGCGGGCGCTGCCCGAGTCCCTCAGCCAGCACGCGCTGAGGCGCACCAAGGGCGAGGAGGTGGATTTCGCCCGCGCCGAGCGGCAGCACCAGCTCTACGTGGGCGTGCTGGGCAGCAAGCTGGGGCTGCAGGTGGTGGAGCTGCCGGCCGACGAGAGCCTCCCGGACTGCGTGTTCGTGGAGGACGTGACCGTGGTGTGCGAGGAGACCGCCCTCCTTACCCGACCCGGGGCGCCCAGCCGGAGGAAGGAGGTAACTGTCCGCTCGGCCGCTCGGCCGCTCGGCCGGCTGGCGACGCGAGGGGCGCGGCCGGGGGCGCGCGCCGGGCCCCTCCCCGCCGCCCCGGGGCCGACTTGCCCGGGAAATCACGGAAGTACCCCCCAGCCCCCACCCCGGGCCAGTTTACAACTTCCCATCGAGGGACAAGGGGGTGTGTGCGTGCGTGGGAGAGAGTGAGAGACTGGAAGTTCATTGTTCACACCTCCCGGCTGTCAGGAGCCTTCGCTAGGAGCCGATCCGCCAAGTGTGGTGGTGCGGACTCGGGCAGGTGGGTGGCCTGGGAAATCCAGCGCAGAAACGTTTGCATTTGTCAAAATTAAACAGCAGCGAAGACAATACAACTTGGGGTGTTTCCTAGGGAGCGGGGGCCCGGAGGGGTGCTGCTCCAGGTGGCTCCAGGGGACCACGCGCCACGGGTGGCGCTGAAACCCCATGCGCTCTGAGCAGTGGGGGGGCCAGATGAAATAAGGCGGTGTCGGTGCCCTCAGACTTGGGGCGTCCCGAGTTAGTTTTCAGTGGTGGCAAGTGAGTCATGGAGAACCCGAGTAGCAAGCGAGTGAATTTAAGGTGAACGTTTTGTGGGTGAGCTTCGTTAAGTGTGTGCGTGAGCGGGCCGGGTTGTATTCTCTGTGGGATGTTGTGTGTTTAGTTAGAAATGGTGGTTTCCCAAGTTCTGTAATTTTTATTCTCTATTTTTTTTAACTCACAGCAATGAAGAGAGCTTTTTGTGTTCTCAGGGGACACCGACTACTTTTAAATATTGCACTTGTAAAAATGGCTGTGATTTCTTTAATCACAATATAGGTGACTGGGGAGAGACAGAGTGAGGTTGGATTTTAAAATCCCGTTTGCCTTTGGATTCTGCTCACTGCCCAGGCTGAAGACTCCCTGTTCCTATTGGCACCCAGTGGCATTACAAGACGCAGGTCGTTTCTTTCATATCTGGAGGTTTAGGGACTTTGTTTTTCTGGTTTTATTCACCCATTCACTGGAAATGTCTCATAGAACTTAGAATATGTCCACACTTTACCACTCGGTTGATGGTCTGAGAACAAGCATATTCCACTTATTTCTCACTGAGATAACTCTAAGTCAGCAGAAAACCAAAAGTAACAGGTCTCATTCTCTCAGCCCTTTTTTTTTTGCCACCCCTTTCCATCTTTGAATGTGTGAATTGCCCCACTCTATTTTAACCTGATCAAGAATGTAATCCCATTTGAATACCTTCTCATATGTGCTAGGCCATATGGCAGAGCAGTGCTTTGTACTTGAAAGAGTAAAATGGATTTCAAACCCTTTCAAAATGGTATTCATTAGATGAGTGTAGTCCAGTGTCCTCTTGAGACTGTCACCATACTTACTCGTCCATCTCATTTTATTCCTATAATGGAACCTTCTAAGCTTTGGTCTTCCTGATACAGGAGTGAGCGATCATCTGTCCCTCTGCTCAGATTTTGAGGTGTCCATTTGAAAAACCAGAATTTTGCTCCCTTCTAATAACAAGCTGTGGCCTACTGCTAGTGGTTTTTTGTTTGTTTGATTTAATTTGTGTGTGTGTGTGTGTGTGTGTGTGTGTGTGTGTGTGGCTCTGGGGAATGGACTCAGGGTCTTGTGCATGATAGATAAGCACTCTAAACTGGGCTATATCCCCAGCCCCATGGTGTAGAAGATAAGGACATTGGTCTGGATCTCACTTCCACCACTTCAATTTGGTGACCTTGGGAGGTGTCGCTTAATTCAGTTTTTTCAAATAAGAGGTGGACATAATAATAACTATTTCACAAAGTTGTAATACTTTTATTAATCCACATAAAATTCACAGACAGGACATTTAATGAATGTTGACTGTTAGTCATTCACTTAACAGTGGGTCAGAGAAGAGTGACTACTTGAATAAGAAGTAGTTGTCTGTAAACTAATGTGATTATTGGTGTTCATCTTCTCAGGGCCAAGATTAGACATCTTTATGCTGTAGGTTTTATCTTAATTTGTTCTGTGACACTGCCTGTTAGCATGGGTCTCTGTGTCTGATCTTTCCCAAATCACCTTTGCTCTTGATCTGGGTCACCAGGGCAAGAGGCCTTCCAGACAGGCAGAGGCTGTGGGTGGTCTTTGTTGGATGAGAGTCTTCTGGAGAACAGGGCATGCAAGGTAATGCTTTCTGAAATCTCTCAGGTCCAGTTTGTTGACTTGGTAAGTGTTGATGCTTGTTGAATGAATGAATGAATGATATGCTGAACTGACAAGCTGATAGTTAACTTCAAGGTCCACTTTGGATTTTTTTTTTTTTTTTTTTTTTTCCTTTATATGATGCCAGCCTCCCTAACTGTGAAAATCTACAGCAGCCAGGGAGTTATTTTAAGGTTTTCATCATTGATTTTCTTGTCTCCAGTCTCTTCACTCTTCATTTCATTCCCACACTGAAGCCAAGTTGGTTGTTTTAAAACTCAAATTTGATTCTGTCCCTCCTCCTCCGACTAAATTCTTGAAGGGTTCCCACTGAGCTTAGATAAACACAGTGAGCTGCTGTGCTCTGCTTGCCTTTGTATCTTTAACTTCCATCTCTGGCCCCACTCAAAGCACCTCCAAACACTTGGCTCAAGTCAGGCTCTTTCATTTAAGCTCATCTGGACACGCAATTTTCCTTTGTCTGGGACACGCCTCCTCCCTCCTCTCTTCCTTTTACGTGGCTGCTCCTACTGATCCTTCTTTTCTTTGCCTACTGTCATCATCAATATTATTAGCTAACATTTTTTGGGTGTTTGCCATTTGCCACAGAATGCAGGGTTTGTGACATGCATTTCATTAATGCTCATAACACCTCTTTTAGTTCAACACTGTCATTATTCCTCACTTAAAGTTAATGAAACTGAGCCTTATAGAGGTTGAACAAATTGGTGAAGGTTATAGTGTGACAGCAGTGAAACCAGGACTTGAACTAAGGTTTACAGGACTATAAAGTACTAGTTTCACCTTCTGTGATATTAGACAAGCATGGATTGGTTCTCTTTTTTATAAGCTCCTGTAATCAGATGATTACCTACTTTTATATTTCTCATACCATATGGTTATCGTCTGTTTACCTTTCTGTATCCTTCACTGTTAAGTGAGGGCAGGGATCATGTGTACATTGTTTCACATTTTCTTTCCAAGGTCTTGCACAAAATAGGCACACAGAAAATATTTTGTTCAACAAATGTTTCCATGATTTTAAGGTCAACATTTGTTCTCTCTCCTAATGACATTTGACATTTTTGTAAGTGTTGCCAGTCTGTGGAGTCCCAAAATTTGTAACTTTATCTCACTCTTCTTTCCTGTCTCTCTTGTTACTGTTGTTGTTTTTGTTTTTATAAAAGTCTTGAGCAGTTCCTTCTTAATCAAAACATTATATTTAATGACTTTTCTTCCTTAGAAGAAAGAACCAAGAACCAAATTTAAGAAAGTTCTCCTGTGAAAGGTCAATGCTTGCCTCAGTAGGGCTTCCAGAAGTTTATAAAACTCAGGCTCTGTGTGCAAAAAGCTTAAGTTTTAGTGAAGGAAACTGTATAGACAGAAAATCAGTAAATAATATTGATTTTCTAATAACTCTGTTTCTTCAGGATTTTTAGTATTTTTAATATGTTTAATATATTGAAGACAAATCAGCCTGGAGAAGCCTATTTCAGATGAATCGAACTTACTTTTTAGGGGAAAAGTAAATGTCAAAGTCTGCAAACAAAACTGAAGTAGGACAAGTGACAGGTTGTGAGAATTTATTTTTTTATTGTGCTGGGTGGGGGGGTATATTGTGGCATTTACAAAAGTTCTTACAGTGTATCAAATATATTAACCCCTTCACTGCTCTCCTTTATTACCTCTCCCCACCCCGAGAATTTAGTGTTTTAAAAGAATTAAAAATTTCAAATAAATAATGCATGCCCACTATACCAAGTTCAGAATGTACAAGAAGATAGGCAGTAAAGTCTCAGCTGGCTACCCAGTTCCCCTCCCTAGAGGCAACTAATGATTAACTGACAAAGCTTACTTAAGGAAAATTGTGAAATGTACCCTATGTCCTTTTGCTCCTCTTTAAAGAGCAATTTTAGCCTTTCTCAGGTACCAAGTTTTAGCGCGTGGAATAATTCTGTCTAGGAGAAAACCCCCTCGAACACATTCTTACAAAGTGATAATAGCTTTAATGATTTCTTCCTTCATCATTTTCATTTTTAGTCATCCCTTTAGGAAGACGACAGTGCATAGCACAAGGTCATAAATCCAGAAGAAAATAAGGCATCAGGTTGGGGAATGGAGACATAAATGGAAGGAGTGAGCAATATCCATTTGGGTAGATGCCCCTTTCTATTTAGGAGCTAATTATTAGGACCTACATATTTTGGTCCTTGTTTTATTCTCTAGTTAGGAAAAAATCATGATTATTGTTGACCCCAGAAGCAAGGCAAATATCAAGATTGTGTCTGATAGCAATAACTAACAAATGCCAAGAGTTTGAGTGTGTGAATCCTAGAATATTGTTAGTTCTATTTAAAAAGACAAGAAAACTGAGTCTCAGGTAACGAAGGTTAGATTACTTGACCAAAGTCACAGACAACCAATAAGTTATAGAAATCAGGTTTTCATGTAAGGAGGTCATTTTTTGCTTGATATGCTTATTGCCAACTGTGGTTAATCCTAACAGAACATTAAATAGTTGCAGAATAACAACTTGAATCTCATTTTACACATTAATGATATACACTGTACCTGTGAGCCATTTTATTTCCCTTACCTCATAAATGAGAATAGATTGTTTTTATTTTAGTTAAAAAATAATAATTCATTCATTTACATGACTCTCCTGAATCACTCATGCATCGTTTGTTCATAATTATGTCTTATTTACCACCAGAGTGGAGGTGGTGGGCTGACACAGGTTCTTGCTATACATATCCCAAGCTGGCCTTGAACTTTCAATCCTTAGCCTCTGGGGTGCTGAG